GAAGAGCAAGGTTCTCCGATACAACACAGAATGCACCAATCCAGTCACAATTGACGGAGAAGATTTGGAAGATGTAAAAACCTTTACATATTTGGGCAGCATCATTGATGAACAGGGTGGATCTGATGCAGATGTGAAGGCGCGGATCGGCAAAGCAAGAGCAGCATATTTACAACTGAGGAACATCTGCAACTCAAAACAACTGTCTGTCAACCAACACCAATGTCAGGATTTTCAATACAAATGTCAAGACAGTTCTACTGTATGGGGCAGAAACCTGGAGAACTACGAAAGCCATCATCCAGAAAATACAGGTGTTTATTAACAGTTGTCTACGCAAAATACTTCAGATCCGTTGGCCGGACACTATTAGCAACAACGTACTGTGGGAGAGAACAAACCAGATCCCAGTTGAGAAAGAAATCAGAAAGAAGCGCTGGAAGTGGATAGGACACACGTTGAGGAAAGCACCCAACTGCGTCACAAGACAAGCCCTCACATGGAATCCTCAAGGCCTATGCTCCATTGGGAGTAACAGGCGTAATTAAGTAAGTAAGTTAGTATATTTGTCCTATTCAATTATAGATTCTGTATTTAAATTTTAACTTGTTACTAGTAATAGTGTGACCTGAGCTACTTACAGCCACATAAGTAGTATATAACCATGGTCAGGAATAGAATGTATTTTAATAGAAGATCGAGAAGGAAAGAACGGAAACAGAATTCAATTGGTATGAAAATGCATAAACAATGAAATCTGAGGCGATCGACTGATATTTTTCAAATAAACTATTTACTGTATAGTTCTGAGATTTTAGTGAGATTTTCTGTAATTTTGTGCTCAAATACATTCAGTTGTCCTCACCTGTGCTCTCCTTCACTACAGTAGTATTTGTATTATTTTTTTTCTCCCATTGTTCTAATAGTTTAGGGTAACAACTTAAACTAATGTATATCTTCACTAGGGTCCTATATTATCCATTATTAAACATCATGTTTCTTCGCCAAAATCACTCATACAAATCATATTCATTATTACCCAAGATACACATACATATATATATATATACATGATTCTTAGTAGTTATCGTTTTTTTGAAAATTAACAGACCAAATATAACAATTTTTACTTAAATTATATTTATTTGTTTATGTGATACAAATCCATCATCTCGTTTTATACGGAAAGAATATTTATATGTAAGTGCTTGTTGTAACTGTGTGTGTATGTAGAGTGGGGGGGGGTGAGGGGAGATTGTGTAAATAAGCGTAGTAGCAAAACTGGAAAATTGAGAAACGATATATATATATATATAAAGTGATAATCCAAATGTAAACTTTAGATTATCACTTTATTTATCGATTGACTGTATAACTTACAGTTTAGTTGTCCAGTTTATATTACTATAGATTGACGATACGTATACATATCAGTAAGATGTGATTTATAAACACAAGAATAGAAATTTAAACAAACAAACAAAATTCTAGAACAAACATCTTTATGATATTAATCATTAAAAGTTATTTTTGTAATACTTTATCCCAATCTCTTTTATATATTTATAACTGACTTTTAGAAATCTGAAATCATAAATTATTGTTACTGAGTACTTTACATAGATAAGCCTTAGTCAGAATGTGATAACTGTCGTTCTAAAGCGATTATGACCTTGTATTTCCATCACCTTACTAAAGTATTTACTCTGGTTATTAAAGACTCTTCCCTGCTTCCATTTTATGCTTCTCAGTTTATATATATATATATATATATATATATATATATATATATATATATATATATATATATATATATATATATATATATATATAGTTACAGAATGCATACCAATTCACAGGCATCATCAAGTGGATACAACATGAATATAACATTGACCACCATGGAAAACCTGGAAGCACTAGTCTAACTTCAATTGACTCATGATCTCAACTATTGAAATATTGTTATTTACATAACAGATAAATGGACAAATAAGTAGACTGAAATATTTATACATTCAGAATTCCAAATCGAATTATATTCAATAGGATTTCCATATTACGTAACAGATAACAAAGTATAAGTCAAAGTTTAAACTGTATTGAATACAAAAGTAAAGTGTTAATCAATGTGAAAAAAAACAGAAAAGGATTAAAGGGTAAAATTTTAAACTGATGCTTAACATTTCACAGACTATAGTCAATAAATGTATACTATTCTACATATTAATAATTTTTTAAATGGATATCATATCTACCATTGAGTTAATTCTAGCTTTTGTACAAAATTATTTCTCTACCTTCAATCGAATAGTTTATCAATCATATGAAACACTTCAAACAACTTAACTGCTTTTATGTACACCATGTTTATTAGCTGACATAACTCTTCATTTAAAGTTTACGTTACCTTGAGATAAACAACTTATTCTAATCAATTCTTTTACTATACTGATCCTATTGTTTTAAAACACTAGGAATAAATTGACAAATGATTTCACAAGAATGATTCAGTTCTTCTCTTACTCAAATTACATTAAACTATACAATTCAATGAAATTTTCATCTCATTCTTCATATTTTACAGTTGTAACCATGAGTACTAACTCCGCTTAGAGCCCATCTGGGGCTACTGCCGGTCCTAAGTCCGGATAAAGGAGGAGGGTTGGACATGGGGTTAATGACCCCACTAACTCGCTAAAAGAACACTAACCAGAAAAAAAAATATTCAAACCATTTACTGTTGGAGGTCTATGCTCCAATGAGAGTAACAGGTGTAAGTAAGTAACCATGAGTACTACTATGATTATTCATGTTTTCATTATAAACTAATAAATGTTCGTAAATATTTTGATTTACAATAGAAATGATTACTGAAAATTGTCAAATGTATTGATTCAGCTAACAGAAAAAAATACAGACTAATGTTGTAACAATGCATACATACAATAGAAACTAACTATATACATATATACATACATATATATATAATCTCTATTCATTTTGTTGATCAGCTAATGATAGATTAACACAAAAGTTTCGAATAAAGAAATGCCAAAAATATTAGAAATGTCAGTAAAAAAAAAATTTGATTTTTTTTCTCTGTAAAATAAACTCTTACAAGACAATAATAAATTGTACACGGGATTATTGTGTTTACATATAAATTGTACATCAAATGATTATATATTTATGTATCAATTAGAATTATAACCAGTTCCTTAAGAAAAACAAAATGTGATGGCGTTTAAAGTGAACGGTATCAGGTTCGAGTCCCGGGGTATACATCAACTCTAAGATATAGGCATGTCCAACTGACGAGTTCCGAATTAGATAAAACGTACGTCCTGAACTTCAATACTAGCCATCATACATCATTGCTCAAAATGTTAGATTTTGAATCCTCAAACTTTAAGTTTGCCAATACCGATTTTACCGGTTTTAAACCATTGAGTTGAAAATTATATATTCCATATTTGTCAGTCTAAAGCAATACTCAAATAATTTATTTAGAAAATAGGAACGATCTAATACTAATCATTATATGCGTTATAATACACTAAACGTATTATGATTAGTTGCCGTGTTAAACAGATAATTTATTATAACAATGTCATCTATTCTAGTGTGTGAAACCTCGATAAGGAATTCTGTTTGATCTCGTCTTTATTGCATTTATTGATAAAAAGCTTGTTCGATAAGGGCCAACAAGTCTATAAATTACATATATATGTGTACACTAATACTATACGATCCATAAGTAGGAGTGCTGCAACAAATTTCTACCAATTTTTTTATGAATATATTTATTTAATATCTATCATAAATGCTGGTCGGCGGCCAATACTCCATTGAGAGCAACAGGCGTAAGTAGGTAAGTAGGTGCCATAAAACAAAACGACTGAGATAATAAATAACAGTTTATTACATATTTTGGAAGTGTTAGTTTCATTGTGAATTTTAAGGAAAAAAAACATTTTTTTTCTATATACGCCGTCATATCATTGTTGCATTGAGAGATATTAAGAAAAATTACCAGTACTTGAGGTGAGACCATAATTGATGGACAAACCAATCAGATATAAGATAACAGATCTAGGATTTTGGTGTGACATGTGTTCATCCATTTGGTTAAACAGAGTTTTGGCATTATAGATGATATCAGTCCGTGATGAAAACCTTAGATTTAATTTCTAACTTTAATCATCAACTGCAAATCATAAGTCGAATTCCCCACACAAGTTTATAATCCTCATTTGGTCCTAGCTATGAAGTGGACACGCTTGAGGTCAGTCTAGCGTCACTCAAAGGTCGTTCATAAATTATAGTCTCATTGAACTTGATATTGTATTCATCTGCTATATGATAATATTTACTATTTGTTATAGTGAATGTTATGATATCTTTTTATAGCTTTCAACTGTATAAATTCAACCAGATAGGCAACCCGATGATATATATTACCATGATTTATCTAGTCTATAGAAAAGAATTAATTACAATATTAGAATTTAGTGAAGTTATCAATCTGTAGTAAATAGACTTGATTAATAGATTATTGTTCAACAAATAATTAACTTTTGAGGATTGATATACATTTCTTTGTATCAATGGCTTAGTACAACATGTTTTCATTTGAACATTAATATAGTCTGAAATCGATTTATATCTTTACCATTAGGCAATATACCTAGGATGATATCGATATAAGTACAATTTTTTTAAATGTTGACCTCAAAAAACAAAACAGTGGTCTAGGAGCTAAGCGTTCGCATGCTAGATCGATAAGTTCCGGGTTCGAATCCAGCGGGGTGCGGGATCGTGGATGCGCACTGCTGATGAGTTTCACATTAGGACGAAACACCCATCCAGCACGTCTAGATTTTTCATGGTAGTCTAGCTTCAATTGACTCATGAATTAGACTATAAAACACAAATACTTGATTCAATTAAAATAATACATAACCAGTATTATATTTCTATATTAATAATTAACTTACTTTGTGGGCATTACGTCTAAAAAATGCTTTACATGATTCACAAGTTAATTGACCAAAATTATGATTTACAGCTCGATCACCGCAAACTTTACACTTTTTTTCATTAGAATGATTATTGCTATTATTATTATTATTACTATTAACATTATTAGTAACCAGAGTGTTATTACAATCAGTATGATTGTTCGATTTTAAATGTTGTTGGTGAAAATTCAAACCAGTCAATTTATAATCTTGATTTGTATAATATGAAGATGAAGGTGAAATGTTTGTTGTGGTTGTTGTTACTAATGATGATTTTGCTGTTGCTGGAGTTATTGTTAATGTTTCTGTGCATAAAACCATTGAAGATGACAATGATGATAATGATGAAAATGAAGAAGATGAACAAGAGGACGACGATGAAGATAATGATGATGATGTAGTCGGTGAATAATTTGGTTGAAATATTGTAGGATAAATTTGTAATGGAATTATATTTGTATCATAATGATGATGATTATTATTATTGGCGGCAGTAACAGTAGTCTCATTATTATTATTATTATTATTATTACTACAGTAGATATTATCAATTAAATCATTTGATATCACAGTATTCCCAGATAAATGTTCAGATGTTTCAAAATGATTTGACTGTTCAACTAAAGGTCGCATCATGATAACATCATTATCACTGTCTTGAACATGAATATTTTTACCATCAGTCATGGTGGTTGACACAGTCTCGATTGGAACAGACATAACACTATCCATTTCTGTATTATTTACTTTAATATTTGATAATTCATTACAATTTTTATTCATGTTCTCATTATTCTCATTATTAATTATTAATGAATAATTATTATTATGATTATGTGTTGTAATTATTCCATCCGATGTATAATGTAAATGTTCTTGTAATTGTATTTGTGAATGTTCTTGATTTAACCATATCACTGATTGATATGATTCAGGTATATGTTGTTGAATACATTTTGAATTGGAATATTGTACATTTGATAAAGTATTTACCGTGGTATTTGATAGAAAATAATTCGGTTCTGAAAATATTGATGAATATAATTCATTTTTTTGTTGTTGTGTTAATATATAATCACCTTGAGGAATTGTATTAGTTGAAATTTCATTAGGAATTATATTATCATTAATAGAATTGTGCAGTTGATCTGTTGATTGATCCATACCATAATGCTGATGTTCATGATGATGATGAAGATGATGAGATGGATGAGGATGTGAATGAAGTGGATTGGGAATTATTAAATTTGATTGTTCAAATGCATAGAAAGGATTATGACCAGGTAATTGTTGTGAAATATCATTGAATTGATTAGATAACTAATAATGAGAATAAGAGTAATATATAAAGTTCTTTTTTAAATATATTCGTTCCGCAACAATCAAAATAGTTGCGTTTAAAAAATATTAGGCTTTTAATTATTTACTAACTACTTATAATTAACAAAAAACCGTAGTCAAGCTGTAGAACCATTGTATACTGAAGAGGTTTCTTCTCCGCTATTAAATCAACATATTAAGAAATAACTAAGAGTATGCGCGAGATGAGACAGTATATGGTTATTATTTTCTGTGGTTTGCACCATAGATTGATCCGAAGTTAAACAACCTATGTATACTAGGAAGCACTGAATAACTGCTTCAGCTCAATACAGGACTCTTCAACAATACAACTGCACGAACCATCAAAGATTGAACCTAGAACCGTTGATTTCACCCGTGAACGCCTAACCTTCAGACCATTGATTCAGCACCAAATGGTTTACATGTTCAACTTCAGTCAAATCTCATTTGTAAGCAAAGATGGATAGTGGCTAGCAGTGGAATCCAGTTTGACGAGCGTTTCGTCCTGTTTGGAACTCGTCAGCTGGAAGTACCTGCATCTCAGAGTTGATGTTCACTCTGGGACTCGAACTCAGTAGCTAAGTGGATAACACGATGGCGTTTGAAGCGAACGGTACTGAGTTCGAGTCCCAGAGTGAACATCAACTCTGAGATGCAGGTACATCCAGCTGACGAGTCTCAAACAGGACGAAACGCGCATCCTGGATTCCACTGCTAGCCACTATCCATTTTATAATGCATGTAAATTAGGGCAATATTCGAGGCATACGCACAGTATGCACACACGCCAATAAGAGACTGATCAATTTCAGTCCTAAAATATCGATGGGAAGATTCAAGTAAAACAATATCAAGTGAACTCTCATTTGGTTGGTAATTGCTACAAATTTTACTTGGCCAGACTTCATTAGTCACGGTTTCCCACAAATACTACACAACTATTCAGTACCTCTTAGTTTTCCATAATTATTCAATTAAGATCAATCTGTGATGTTAACTGTGAGACTTAACAATCTCCATAAATCCTTTATGATTGTAGTAATTTTTCGTCCTGTTTCTTCTGCTTTCATCTAGAGCATTTTAGCTGTAAATGTTAATGTGAATTTTGTGACGAGAATGCAATTGCCCCTATACTATACTAAGTAATGAATGAAATCTATTGTACCATTGAAGAAAAAAATAAACACGTTTCAAATGAGAACAAAAAAATTTGTTTCCGACAGTGTTTAACAAGTTATACTGTATAATACTATTTATAGTTAAATTGTCTACTAAAATAGTAACCTTTTGATTAAAAAAAAACAACAAAGAAGCGTTGAATATTGTCTTTAATCATTATTTTTTTAATGATACAACATCCTTCTATTTTATTGTAAATTACTGTTACTTTTTACGGCGAGACTATAATCTATGGATGAACGAATCAGGTATAAGATAACAGATCACGGATTTTGGCGTGATATGCATCCATTTATTTAGATAAATGGAGTTTTAACATTATAGCTGATATCAGTTCATGATGAAAACCCTCAATGTGATTTCTAACCTTAACCATCAACTGTAAATCATAATTCAAATTCCTCATACAAATTTATAATGTTCATTTGGTTCTAGTAAGTAGGTAGATACTCTCAAGGTTATTTTAGCTTCGCTCAAAGGTCATCCATCAATTATAGTCTCACCTTGTTGAATAAATAAATTGACTAAAAATAGGAGTATAAATAAATGAAATTGATGAGAAGCTTTCTTCTCTGAATGAGTTCTATTTCTTATCACATTTATTATCTTCACAAAGGTGATGTTTCAGTTTTCTTATGACAAGTTGTAACCTGTAGTTGGTAAACATTTGTCAATCTGAATATAATATGGTGATATCGTCATAATATATTACTATTATTAGTTCTAAATTAATCAACTCAGTCTTCTTGTAAAAATTAAATGGCTTTTATAATTTTTCGGCATATGAAATGTTTAAATAGTAATAATTGTTCCTTAATGAATACTTTATACACAGTTGTGTGCAATGTCAATCTATCACTTTGTCTCAGAGACTGCTTAATATATATTCTTATCAGAATGTGTTTTGTGGAGATTTTTAGAAATTTTCACAGACTGAACTCGTGAGTCAGTTGAAGTTAGACCACCATTGAAAACCTGGAAGCACTGGACGGCCGTTTCGTCCTAGTATGGGACTCCTCAGCAGTGCGCATCCACGACCCCGCACCACCCGGGGCTCGAACCCAGGACCTACTGGCTTCGCGCCCGAGCACTTAACCATTAGACCACTGAGCCGGCATCCAACGGTGTTAATGTCTAACTTCAACCAATCCACGAAGTTGCGCTACCGTACACCATTGTCTTCAGTGAGTTCCTATCTCACAACAGACCTGGTTGAACTCCACTGGTAACGACTTCTCACTAGAACTCCAGAAGTGTCTCCTGAAGTCGGTCACTAGTGAGCATGTGATTATTATTATCAGAATGTGTTTTGTGGAGATTTTTAGAAATTTTCACAGATTGAACTCATGAGCTAGTAGGCCCTGGGTTCGAGCCCCGGGTGGTGCGGGGTCGTGGATGCGCACTGCTGAGGAGTCCCATACTAGGACGAAACGGCCGTCCAGTGCTTCCAGGTTTTCAATGGTGGTCTAACTTCAACTGACTCATGAGTTCAATCTGTGAAAATAATATATATTCCTTGGTCAGAATGTGATAACTGTCGTTTTAAAGCAATTATGACCTTGTATTTCCATCACCTTTCCATGTTCCCATTTTACGCTTCTAAGTTTATATATATATATATAGTTACAGAATGCATACCAATTCACAGACATCAACAAGTGGATACAAAATGAATATAACATTGAAATATAACATTGAATAAAACAATGTGATTAAACATTTATTACAATGATGTAAAGTAGAGAACACCGACAAAGAATTCATTGTCAATGATGACATCATTTAAGAGTCTTGTTTCAGTATCTGTTTATATACCGTAATAGTTATTAGTCTTGTTATTATATTAATTATCTTTAATAAGTAGCATCAAAAGAACGTTAGTATAGAAAGATCGTTGTATAATTAAAACGTTATAAACTGTTTGAAATGTTAGATATTAAACTTGATCTAAAACAATCTAGAACGCCAGTGTTATTCTAAATCTAATACTTTGTCTAGAACTTTCTAATTACTTAACAAACATATCACTAACGGTAACAGCTTCTCACTAGAACTCCAGGAGTATCGCCTGAAGTCAGTCACAAGTGAGCAGATGATTATTGTCAGAAGGGGTTTGTGGAGATTTTAGAAATTTCATAGATTGAAATCATGAGTCAATTGAAGCTAGACCACCATGGAAAACCTGCAAGCACTGGGAGGCCGTTTCGTCCTAGTATGGGACTACTCAGCAGTAGGCGTCCACGATCCCGCACCCTGCGGGGTTCGAACCCAGGACCTACTGGTCTGACTCGTGATTTCAATCTGTGAAATTTCTAAAATCTCCACAAACCCCTTCTGACAAAAATCACTAATGATCAGTAATGTTTCTAAATAGTAATTATTACTAACATGAAGTATAGTTTTTGTTATAGGGACGTTTAAACTTTATATTTAAGGTTATTTGAATGAAAATTGGTGAATGGAGATTGAACCTCTCTATCACGTCTCAACTTCATTTGAAAACAGTTTGATGAAAGTATCATTTGAATTATTACGGTTATGAGATGAGATTTATCCCATAATTAATACTAACAATTTTTTCTAAAAAAAATTACTGTAATTTATGAAGATAAATTAAATATTTTGATAATTTTTATCATGACGCTTTTGCTAATGATGTTGTTCAGAAGAATGATGACAGCTCCACGACTAAACCATCTAGCTTACAGAACAAAACTCCATCAAAATCATCCACCTGAGCTACAAATCTTCTCCATCATCCCATCGAAACAGTCAAAATAATTTTGTCCATGTCTAAACCCTTTCAACAGTATGTGCACATGACCTAGCCAAAAATTTAACCCAGAAACTTATAGTCTTTGTGGTAAGTATAATTTTCTGTTACAAAACTTTTCATTAAATTATCAACCTCATGATGTTTTAGTATTTATTTTATTTCCCTACTCAAATTGTCATATTCCTATTGTTTCTGTTTTGACAAGTTCCAAATAACACAAAACCTAAGTCCAGAATCTCCTGACAACTACCTCCAACCACCACATTGTACTGAAATTGTTATTATTCAAAAAATACTTTATAAATATTTCCGAATAACTATCTGACTATTACGTGTTTACATTTTGGAAATATATTTTCCTATTTATCGTACATAATCATTTATAATGTAATTGCATACAGTTTCTATGATAATGTCATCACTATTTGCATTCAGATTTACCAGTATTAAATTAATTCATCGGACCTTTAAAATAATCAGAGTGTACATACACTTAACTTTTAGAATGATTCTGTTCAAACAAAATGCATTATTTATACCATTGGAAATTAGATAGCCAAAATGTTTGACCAAATTACTGAAAAATCTGAATGGATAAATTCATAGGAGTTGAACACTGAGTTAATAGTAAACATTAAAAAATTCATTATTTTATTGAGAATATGAGCTGACCAATAGTTATACACTAATGTGAACCTGAAATCGACGACCTGTTTGATCCTATAGGCTACCTGTTTCTGCCATCTAGATATTTCAACAAGTTATCTGTTTTTGTTTGTTTTAACAGATCATTATGTTTATTAATCGCACAACCTTTTACGATGGGTTTATGAAAAGTTCACAACCTTCCGCTGTAGAAGTTATAAAAACGCTCAATCAGAGACATCGTGGTTGTTCGCAATATGCAACAAAATGAATGTAGATTATTCAGATGTTAATTTCTGGACTGCTAATTTCTAGCTGGTCAGAAAAAAACCAAGAAGTAAGAAAAGCAAACTTGTTGAAACACTTTGTACTGAGA